ACAACTTGGCACAAACCAGTGCGTGATCGGAGTCCAAGCAGGTAGACCAACACGAACGGTAGTTTTTCGCACATCCTCTCCATCTTTAGCTTATAGCTATATGGTCAATCTGACTTCACGTCTGTGCCGAAGAGGGGTTACTCCAGGTGGCGAAGTGATGCTTAGAATGTCTGAAGTTCATGCTAACTAGGAACAGACCGTGTTCTGAGCATATGCTAAGAAGTCTATCCCCATTATTTGAACGACTGCTATCGAGNCATGTGACGAGGTGACGCTTAGAATGTCTGAAGTTCATGCTAACGAGGAACAGACCGTGTTCTGAGCATATGCTAAGAAGTCTATCCTCATTATCTGAACGACAGCTATCAAGGCCATGGCGGCCGCCAAGGTGGATCTCATTGGGTGACAGAAGACCAACGCGTGCATTTAGGTCTTCGGCCAGGATCACGATGTCCGTCTTAGGTGCTTTGAGAAGAAGCTCCTGTAGGTTGTGATAGAAGGCATCATTGATTGTATCCCGGCTACAGTCTGTGGGAGCGTATGCAGAAACCACGAATAAGTATCGTTCATTTGGTTTCTGCTTTTGGGCTTTACTTGAGCCTCTGATTCTCACTGCGCATAGTCGGCTATCTATCGGGATCCAATCCAATAGACCAGCTTCGGCCCTGGCGCTTAAGGCAATACCAACGCCTGATTTGCCTTTCCCATCATTCAATACGCTCCCAATTCCGCCAAATCTCATCTTGAATTACCGCTTACCGCAATTCACCTATACCGTATCTTGCTCGTCTACTCATAAACAAAGAGCAGTCAATAAGTGAACTTTGTCTTAACCTTGGATTATGAAATGTCCCCATTTCTGTAAAATCTTTTCTCCCCGTTGATTATGTACATTGTGACGGTCAGTGTGTATGATTATTTAACTGAAATGTGAGTTTCAGTGCTTGCAAAAGTTATATATGATACAATACAACCATAAAAGCAGATGGGGCACTGATTTAGAAAGCGAATTTAATACATCGGAAAGGGATGACAATCGGGGGATGTTAATGATACAAAAATAGACGCCAATCACATTCAGTAGATCGAATCAGCAATCCTGCCCGTTTAATGAATGTACGTTTGACGGCGATTCTTGAATAGGCTGCTGCAGACTGACCACCAAACCGAGCGCGGGATTTCTTTTCGGGTTGTTTACACAACGTCTAATGGACGGCTGCTAAGACTAGCGGAGGCCGCGGAAATCAATCGCTGAATTCCCCCCTGCTGTATCAACAAAAGGAGGTCTACATCATTCTGGCATTGCCCTGGTAACCACGTAGGCGGAAGAGTGAATTGATACCATGTTAGATTATCAATAACTGTGATATATATATATATATATATATATATATATATATATATATATACTGATTTGTATTCTACAGTACGCACTATTTGAGAGGCAGCGAAATGATTCTGGAATTCAATCGTGCTCGCTTGCAGTGATCTGTTATTTATCCTTTCAAAGCGTCGTTCACCACCTAGGCTGAGTGGTGTTGACGGGAACGGAAGATCGGATTTAAGGGGCTAGCGATCAATTAACCAAAACTAACACCGAGAAGATGAAGGAATACCGAATCTACGATTCAACGATGAACTTTAATCTGGGGGATATTTATCACTCTTTATCACCCACCAATCTGAAAAATATTGTTACTCCCTACTGCAGCTAGGTCGTGCTTTTATATACCAAAAAGTACATTTCATCGTGATCTTCAGATAATAACAATTTCTTTAGGAGATTTTAAAGGAGTTTAATCCTTTTCGTGACTTGATCTATCTGCTCGGGATTTCTGATTTCATAGTGCCACATTTGGTCCGTGAATGGGCCGTACACAAGCCTGTTACATACGAACCCACACGAATGACTGCACTTCATCTTTGGTTCAGTCTGCTCCGCAGTGGAGACTTTTCTAAGGCTTTTGTTTCAATCAAAATTTTACGATTGAAATATAATATACAATATATAAATATAATGAGATATCTACGGGAAAGGAAAACGGCACCGAATGCGGAATGATCGTTATACAAATTGCATAGATGCAGATATGGATTAAAAAAAAACAGATTTATGTATCTAATAGGAGGAGAAATAACTCAGATAGAGAGAATAGTGTGATATATTCGTTGATAACGTTCGAAATGTGAGAATATGATAATATAGCACCAAACAATCAAAGTACCATCATGTTATGATTATAATTGTTCCCATTTGAAAAGAATTGGAGCAGTTCGGAATGATGACTAGGTTATGAGAAGAAGAGAAGAGTGAATAGATTTTAGGCAGACGAGAAAACGAAATTATCGACACAGTAGATGTTGGGAAAAAATACAGGAAGAATCCTTTTATGGATGGGTATCAGAACTGAAACACGACTTTGAAGTCAAACACGATTCCGAATACAGATGTGTGAGGGAATAAAACTCGTATGATCGAGATGAAAATTTACCATATAACAACATGCGCACGGCAAGAGAGTGATCAAAACCTATTAGATGGCGGAGACCTAGTTCGAGGCTCCACTACACCTGCAGTGGGCCTTGATCGATTTGACAGGGCATCATCCTCCTCCTCCTCGATAAAAATAAACCCAAGAGGTACAATGAGCATACACATCTGACAGATATATGAATAGCACTCACGTGAAGATTTCTCATATGTAAGAGAAGAGCGCTGACTTGGAGTGGAACCGGATATACTTGACTTTTTCGTTGTATCTGAACCCGATACACATGAAAATCACCGGGGACAAAAACGTGAGGTTATCGTTCGGTCATCGATCACGGAGGCGTTATCAAACCAATCAAATAAAGTTTCAAAAAACGAAGACAATCACGGAAATCGGATATCTATAAACGGTTAAGGTCCACATTTGATGCAGAAACACACGTAGAATGAGAACAGCGTGGCTGTCAAATGAATCATTACGCTTACATGATGGTAGTGGAAGATTTGATTGCGAACATATTGTGAATTTTGTTGGGTTGAGAGCAAACGAAGCGTGGACTGAAAAGCTAAGAAGACCTGGTTCGGTCTCGCCAACAGTGTGACTTCACCAATTCAAATGGGGGTCGAACCCGGGAACTCATTGGTAAAACGTAAGCAAACTACCCTCTCGACCGCCAGACAGCTGATCAAACCATTTTTCACTTTCATAATACACGACATAGCACAACGCATCTTTGCAAATTTGTTGCAGGTATCGTACGTAACCTTGCGCATCTGAGCACCAGCCCCAGAGTAATAACTCGAAACAGCTGTCCACTGTTTCCTAGCTTTTCAGTTCACGCTTCATCTACTCGTAACATGACAAAATTTATCAAATGAAATGATTCCGAAAATACACCTTGCATACTCAAAACTGCGTTCGGTCTTCGTGCATTGTGTCAGTCAACGTACAGAGTGCATATCGTGTGGATGATTCAGTAAGATTAGTAAACTGCGGTAGCGTGTGACAAGGCAGAGACGATATTACCAGAGAGCTTGTCTCCAATTACTTTCCATTTTCTAGAACTTTGCCAGCAACTGGTCAGGCATTAGAAACCGTGATTTTACTACTCCGTTCAACGTCGAAACGGTTAGTGTTTGTTGACCTAGTATCAAATAGGGCACGTATTTTTTTTTGAGAAAGTTCTTTCCGGGCCCTTATGAGTTCCGTGCATTTATCTGAATTTCATCTGACTTTCACATCTACTTCGTCTGCTAAATGTCACATAACCTCGGGGGAAAAAACATCGCACAAAACTCATGAATTCCTTCGTTCAAGTTGGCAAGCACTACACGTCGTCGGTTTTCTACTGTGAAGACAACAGATAGATTATCATATGAGCTGAACAGTTTACCTTGACGCAATTGATAACTGATGGGATTATTTCATACGACAGAGACTTTTATTCGCAGGTGATAAATACTCCAACATCGTAAATTTCTGTGCGTGTGTGTGTGTGTGCGTAGGTAAAACATGGGCGACCGACCTACAGAGGTCTAAAAAATTCCCCACAATGACTACAAGGATGCCTTTCATTAATGCGATTTTACCGCTCGATTGAGCATCGGTTTATACTGGTCACTTTGGACGTTTGACCGCGTCCAAAAGATGTATAATATGATGAATTCGACACCGGCTGTCACCGAATTGCGGTTTACATACACCGTCCCGCTAACCTACGGTCAGACTTTGGCTGACTGAAGGCTACTGTTATGAATGTCCATCAAAGAAACTTCACCTGCTTTAAACTGGCCAACGTAATGGTATTCCGACTACGAGCAAATCATGGGATGATCCTGTTCGTTTTATTATGGCTGGGTTTGGCATAGTCTAGACTCCGACACATGATAATACGTGTAAGCGTAAAATCATGCTTCCTGGCCCAACCCACATTCACCCAGAGTAGTCCGGACGATCAGGTAATCTAACAGAACATATTTTGTGATCATCAAGAATCCCATATTCGGTCCGAAGTGAAATAAGCCCCAAATAATTTATGATGGTACTTTTGCTTTTCCCAAGACATTATTCATTAATGATATATATATATAGATGTCAGTGAAGCTCGCTTCACTGTATCTCGCTGTACGATGATGATGATGATGATGATCGCCTGTATCTGTTCTATTCGAAATATGCTTTATGGAGCTGTTTAGATAATAATCACAATAATGGAATCCAGAACAACCTGTTACCCAATCTGCCAGTTTTGCAGCTATGTAATACCTTAAGAAAGAACAATAATTTTTCATCAATTACTTAAGTTGGAGTAGCGAGGTTAAGAAAAAAAATTGAAATACCAATTGTGGCGGTCCAAATCAAGTGCATGAAACTGAGTGGAAACGAAAACCGTGACATTTTTCACCGAATTAATTGACTGGGGAAAGCAGAGCAAAGAAGACGTACCATCTCCCTCGATCACATTTACTCTGTGCCCGGTTGCAGGTGAAAAGATCAGATTCAGGCCATACAATTCCAGTGGAACACCCAGGGCGGCCGGCACAGCCACGGATAGGCTAGGCTGGATACCGAGGAAGCTGTCCACCACATTGGCCACACCGCGAATCAATTGATGATAAATATACGGCAAATAGACGGAGGCACGACCAACGCGATGTGTGACAATCGTCCGTCTGTAAAATGACAAATGGGGGGGGCGAAAATAAAGTACAGGGCCAGAAAACCTCTTCATTGTATAGCAAATACATTTTCCGCAGCAATAAAACCATCCGACAGATATTGGTATCCATCATCGCACATATCAACTTTGCTTCACAGAGGGGTAAACTAAACGGAATCCTGGGCATTAGAGTTTACCGGAACCTTAAAAAAACAGTCTAGGTCCAGATGTCACTGGACTGTTCGCGACAAGTGATCAAATCTGCGTAGCGGGAGCGAACAGACAGAAGACCGGAAAAACCTTAAAAGTGCAAACGAGAAAAAATTTACTTTTTTCAACTTTAAGTTCGTGTTCTACAGGTGAGTAAAATCGTTATACGTCACCCATTGGACTGGATCTAGCACAATATCCGTCCAAATGGAATAAACCGAGGTCTCCATAAGCAAACAAGTGTGTTGTTTGAGCGACAACCAAAGTTTCGGTGGAGAGAAGTTTGACTGTGGTCCTATCGCAGGAGGTTATGCACTTGATCGCTCATGTACCTTGATTTGTTGAAGAAAAGCCCTGGTTGACAATGCACAAAGGATAGCCAAGAGCTGATTCTTACCGCAAGCCTTTGACCGTATTTATATTCTCTGCTATTCCGGAAAACTGAATGCTGAGCCTTAATCTTGACCAGGTGAAACTAACAGCACTTCGCACCAGCAGAGATGCATTTTCTATGATAAATTAGTTTCTGAACGAGATTATATCTTAGGAAAACAGTTTTGTTCTTTTTCCTATCAGTGAAGAACGTGTATCATCATCAGGTCACAGTCGATCTGTCTGGTTAGTGAGACAGACAGTACACAAAAATTGAGTGGGACCAATAACACTCAAATCAACGACAGAAATTCACTCCAAAAAAAAACGGGAGGTGATTCACAGCCGACCGACTTACCGACACTCCTCCAGTACCGGAGTGGCCAACACATGTGGATCACATAGATCGACCGGGTTGCCCATGGTGTGTAACAAACGGAACCAGGCCTCTTTGATGGCCCCGGCACTCATCTCACGCGAACCGGATTTGTCCGCTGTACCTGGTCGGACGAAGATGGAACAAAGTTTTCGTAAAAAAATATATATAACTGCGCAATACGGAATGAATGGTGAAATGATAAAACAAAATTGCCGATATAAAGTTACAGACAGAACTGACAGATTTGTTTGTTTCCATTTAATCAAGATAATAATAACTGTCACCACGCGAGGTGAATGAGACTGCTGTATTGAAGTTCACGAAACCACATCCAGTTGGGTTAAGTTCATCGAAACTTTCTAAAAAAAACTATCATTTATACCTAAATGAATATTTATCGACAAATTTGGGTTATCTTTGCGTACATAGCCGAGCAGATTAAAATTCGCACAAGACAGCCGAACTGTGGCGTGATTATAGCACCCGAGACCTCCTATAGCAACATGGTCATGATCACCGAGCAACGAATTTCGCTGATCGCCGGAAAGCTCACAATGAATGAGAAAATAAGTATGACTGTGTATGGTAGACGAGGAGTGGGTTTTTCTGACATCTTTGGACAGTAAAGTGAATCACCATGACCAACAAACAGAGTACGTAGCCGAAATGTTCATATACACACACACACACACACACACACTTTTATGGGCATTCTCGCCTGATAAGAAGATAACAAGTATGCCAATGGAGTGTCGGTTCGCTGCCATGTCCTTCAGGTTCACTAAACATCCGGTTACACTCTCTCGAACGCCAACCTGGAAAACCAGAAGCATCTACGCTACCTAATTTCTCATGCACTGCTTCATGCCTCGTCAACTGTTGACCATCACTTCATTTTCTCCGACCTGGGAGAACAAGTGCAATGTAAAATCTACAACACGTACCCCTACAGGCGAAGTTTACTTATCTGAAATCGGTGGTGAAGAATTCTCCGTCAAAGTACACTCAAATGTAAGACGACTTACCTCAGGATGGCTAACGTTCGTTGCATGTCCGCATTGACAGTGAATGATTTTCAGTTGATGAATCTCTTCGAAGCGCATGCTCGATCCTAACTTGAAAAACTGTATATCGAATTAATCGATATTCTGGTCATTCGTGATCTTATAACATCACTATATTTTACCTGTTCACCACTAACATTAATATAAGGACGCAGTACGTCAAGAAATACCCAATTCACCCAAATTCTCGAACTTCCCAAGTTCCGCTGTACATTATCAAAAGAACAAGTCTAACGATATCGTGTTGAATTACACATACTTTCCCTTTAGTTCACCTATTTCCTGTGAGAGGAAAAGCCTAATAGGGGAGCTGTTAGCAAATTGAAAGTGTGTGTGTGTGTGTGTGTGTGTG